TAACCTCTCCAGCCAATCTGAAATTAGACAGGATGGCCTTGTGATTAATGCACAGCACCCTGATTTCATTAGATCTGGATTCTTTTTCCAGTGAGAATATCTCATGCTTAGCACTCCTTTAGCATCCTACAGGGGGCATCCAATTATTCCCTCCAAACATCACAACAGTGTTTTGAAGAAAAAAAGTGACTCAAGAACAATGTAAATACATTTTCTTTCAAGAGCACTTAGATATTTTTAATGGGGTTTTTAGCTAGTTAGAAGAAAATGTTCTAGGAAGACATATAGGTTTTAGCTGTGTTGGTCTACTGGCAAAAGTATTCAGAACTCTTAGTAGAGGCGATATCTTTTATTAGACCAACTAAATAGTTGCAAAAAAAATTCTTTATTTGCAAGCTTTCAGGTTCACGCGTCCTTCCTCAGAATGCAAAGATTGTAACATTTCTCCCAGATAGAAATGAAACTTCATATTGCACAGGAGAATGGAAAGGTAAGGTTCCCCATGGTGGAAAAGTTCATTTTATGCAAATTAGGCTTAAACAAAAGTTGGAGCAGTCTGGTTACCTCCAAGGTGTCTGATGGCAAGCAAGGGTTGAATTTTTCTTCCTTCTTGGTAAGGTGTTTTCTATTGCACAGGAGAGAGGGTTGATGGAATATATCTCCTAGCTGAGGCAGTTCTGTTGTGTAGAGGTTGTTTTCCAGGTATGCAAATTCAGCTCAACCAAAAGGCTGGAGCAGGGGTGGGATTCTCCAGGTCCCTGGTGTTGGACTTTTGCTTTTTTGTAAACGTTATGAAATTTTCATCTCAAAGCAGCTATTTAGTTGGTCTAATAAAATATATCGCCTCCATCAAGATTTCTTCATATTCTAGAAAGAGATACACTCAACACTCCCACGTAGGTAAAAAGCTGCACTGAGACATGGATGTGCTAAGCACGTGCAAATTGTGCACATTTTCCTTTACTTACTATTTCTGTCCCCACTCCTGCTCTTCTTCATTCTTCAACTGCCCTTACCCTAGCCTAGATTTTTTTCTCCACTGCCTATCCCTTCTTTTCCATATCCAATTGTTCAGATTAGTACTTGCTAGCCAAAAACCCACAGTAGACAACTAAGTGTTTCTTTGAGCTCCAAATGAATCCTCAGGTGCCCAAGTTTGATGAACAGGCCAATAGGCAAGTGGGTTAATTAAGCAGGTGTTTTTATTGAACACTGTTGCCAGATTCTGTATTTAACTTTTTTATTAAGGACTGTACCTCATTAAAAAGCAAAAAATTAATTCTTTCTAGAAGGCAAGAATAAACTAGTGAAGACATTTCAGCAAAAAGTTACCCCCTTGGGATGTTGTTCCACAGTTCTTACTAGATGAGCACAGGGAAACATTCATATTCTATTTTGAACTCAGCTCTGCTAAAAGGCATGAATTCAGAACACACTGTTGGATATAGGAAACAATTTCTATCCCAGAATTAAGTCTTCCTATAGAAATATCATGTTAAAATGGCATCTCTGTGGCAAACAGGAGCCATTGCATTCAAATCAACCTTTAAAGACCAAACGATAAATTTAAAAAAAAATGAAAAGGGAAAGCTGAAGGTTACTTTGGAAAGCTATAGATTATCTGACTTATGTTTTCCTATACTCAATACATTTTTGTGAATATTTGTGCTTAGCATATTTGGGGGCCTAAACGGCTTGGTAAATGTCTCTAAGCTTATGCCCTAAGGGAACTTGCTCTGGGAGGTGTTGGTGTCTATCACTCATCCCTACCAAAAATGGCATACAATATTTTAAAGGAAAAATGCTGGGAAAGAATGGGGAGGAACGGAAGTGGGGAATAAAATGTAGGTTATTATAAATACATTTCTGTCACAGCCCCCAAAGTGCACTACTCTCATTTTGTTGAGGCTTCTGTGATTTAACTGTGGTTTCCTGCTTAAGTCACAGCCTGGAATGCAATAGAATGTTATCATTTTATCAGACATGTGATTGGAAATGCAATCCAGATCTTATTTTATCTCACTTAGTCTTGCTTCAGCAGTTACTTCCAGATTTAAAAAAGCTGCTTCCAGTCTCATTTAAAAGCCAGCAGATTGGCTGCGCACTCTATTTAAAAGACACCAACTTTTATAAAATTTCACCATACTGTACTGCAAGTGAAGTCACATTCTAACAACCACAAAAAGGTGCCCCGATGGAAACTACATAGGAGAAACCAAATAACACCTGCGTACCAGAACGAACGCACGCCGAAAATCTATCAAAGACAAAAATACCCAATTACCTATAGGTGCACATTTCTCATAAGACAACTGCTCTCTCTCTCAAATCTCTCTAATCCTCAAAGGGAATTTACAAAACACCTGTCATAGATGAACCTACGAACTTCACTTATAAACCTACTGGATACAAAAAATCATGGACTGAATATAAACACTGGATTTATGACACATTATAACTTGCCTGCCATCTGATAACCCCAGGTAACCTCTCTACATTTTACCACTGGTCAACATTCCCCTCTTCTCCTCCCCCCCGCACAACCTACCTTTCTTGCACCTATTTACGCCTATCCCCTCTAAGCTTCCCTGCCATGCATCTGCATTTCACCAACCTGCATTTTGCATATTGCTTAAGCTTCTATTCCCCACAGCACAGCACAAGCATCAGTAGACTCTCTGTATGCCCAAAGAAGTGTGTTTGTGCCCAAAAGCTTATAAAGAACAATTTTTCCAACTATTTAGTTGGTCTAATAAAAGATATCACATTTACCCAAAGAGCCTTGTCTGTTTATGTCTTTAGACAAACATGGCTATAACAAACACCCAAGAAAAAAAAATGGACACTTTATTTTTTAATTTGAAAGAGTTCCAAAATGGGCATGCCTTCCAAAACTGTGCTCTCATCTGAAAAGTCTCTGGACTCTGTGGGCCAGAAGGTCATGGTTGGTAGATTAGTTTCTTTTTAACAATATCTAAGTCGCTGCTTTAAAGCACAAAATTAAAAAAAAAAACAAGATGCTTTGTGCTCCCTCTACTGGCTTTTCACTAAACTAAACTTCTATAAAAAGAACTACAACATCCTCTATAATCTTAATGCAAAAGGAAAGGTGTTTTACTACTTATAAAGGGAAACTAAATAATTCATGTTTTATTTTAAAGGGTGACCTGCAGAAGTATATTCCTGGAAAGGAATAATTAACCATTCATGGTAAATATTTCCTTCTTCCTATAATTAATCGTCATTGGCAAGTCTGGAATGAAAAGCACGCAGTTAATTTTTTTAAAGAGAGAAACATACTGCTCCTCTCAACTCAATGCAAAAGAAGTTGATAAATGTAAAGGGGAAAATGTCACTGGAGTTGAGAAATGAAGGAAAAGATTATTTTAAATAGTGGAAAGTAATTAAAAACAATTTAAACCTAAACTAGAACATAATCGTTATCATTTTATTTTATCATTATATTTTAAAACATAGGCTACAAGTGTTTGTTTTTCAATTCAGAAATAAAGACCATTTCTAGAAATATTTACCATATTTACTTGAATACAAGATGAGGTTCTTCCCCTCCAATTAGCATGGGGGGAAAAGCCCCTTGTCTTACGATTGCACACAAGGAAATCTCACTAAATACACTATCATTAAACTTCTGACAACAGCAGTAAGTCCTGAGCAATGGAAACCAACTATGAAGCCGCTTAAATGCAGCTAACACTGAGAGCATCTACACATGAAATTAAGGTGACACAGTAAATTCTGGAGCACTTTCAGCTGGAGTACATTGCTCCCAGTTGCAACGTCTACACGTGTGCCTGAGACAGCAGTACTATGAGCTGAGGCAGAGAACCCCTGGGCTGGTAACAGGTTCAGGGGACTCAGCCCCAGGCTCCAGTGTCTGGTGGTGAAGGGGCTGGCTAGGGCACAAGGGCAGAACCTGCAGTTGTGTGACTAGCCGGCAGGCTGCCCGCAGACTTTAGTTCCCTCATGCCCCAGCAAGCCCGTCACAGTCTATATATGTGAATTTCAGCAAAGTAAATGACCCCACCATAAGATAGTACTGCCTCTGACAGTACTATTTATGGCAGAGTTAATTTACTGTGCCATAATACCAGCACACATGTAGACTGTGACACTTTACTGCAGAGTCAATTAGTCTTCTCCACAGTAAAGTGCACGTGTAGATGCACCCACTGAACATAACTATAAAAAAATGGTCCACATTGGAGAAACTTGCAAATGGGAATCTGCCACAAGGATGTGTTAGTGCAGTCCATTCAAATAAGACGTATGGTAGTGCCCTTTATGTGCAGTCCCCCTCACCACCCACTCTTTCAAGTCCTAGTGGGCCACAGCATTGCATACATTTTTATTTCCTCTTTACTCCCACTGCTGAGCTACACCTTTCTTTCCCTTTTTCAATGATTCCTGTTTCTTCACCAGCCTTAAATGTCTGAAAATATCAAACAGGGCCTCAAACAGTTCACCTAGAATCTCTCTGTTGCCCCCTCATCTTCATGCAAAGTTGCAGAATCCCAGGACTTATGACAAGAACACCTAGTTCCAGTTGAGCGGGGGCTAATTAGTAGGGGGTATCTGGACTATACACACATACTGAGCAGTGCCAATTGCGGGGGGAAAACTTGTCTTGTATTCAAATAAATATGATACTTACTGCATGAAGCAAATGATAGCAACAATTAAATATTTCTAAAAATATTTCAGGTCTTTATTTGTAAGCTGAAAAATGAAGAGTCTATAAAACTACTAAGCACACATGCACGCACGCACGCACACAGCTATACATACAAACTATGGATCACTATTATACATTTATCGCACAACTTAGTGGTTAGGCTGAGAAATGTAAATGATCTCCATTATTTCGTGAAGAAAAAAAAATTGAAGTTGGAGAAGAAAGCATTTACTTATATAAACTTTGAAGCTCATCTCAAAAAAAGTAACTTTCCAGTTAGAATATAGAAAGAAGAATAAAACCTCACCTTATCATAAAGCATCCATCCAATATATTTCAAGTAACTATCATTTAAGAATGTATCAGGGTACATTTTCATCCAGCTACCAATTTCTTCAATGCAAATAGCCCGGATCTCAGGAATCACATCACTGTAAAATTATACAAGCGTGTTGTAAACCAATTCATAAATGCTCAAAAGTATCAATTTAATTATTTTTCCCCAGTATAAAAACCACGAGTTGTAAATATTCAGAACTGCTACTTGTAGCATTTCATGTAGCCATATATTAATGTGTAAACTATGTCTTTAATCTATATACCCCATAGAGAAACTGCTATTACTTAAAGGACCCACTTTTATCTCTAAGTTTCTCATTACAATTATTTTGAAGCTGGGAAGATGTTTCAGCTATAAAAACTTACTGCTCTCTTGCCAGGAGGAAGAAAAGAAAAGCACTGTGAATGACAATACATACCAAGGTCATTTTCATAACCAAAATCAGTTTGTTCAAACAATTCAGTCTTAAATGCTTTGTTTGGAACTCTAACTGCCCCTTGGATTTATGCTGGACTTAGCATCTAAACAATATACAGAAGATTCCCTTAAGATGTGTACATATGCTTTACAGATTCATTTTTATACCTTTTGTTCCTAGAAGCCAAGCTGACCTGTAAGCTTCAGGAAAAGAAGAGTATCTTCCTATGCATTAGCTTAGCATTTAGCATTTGTATGGTGGGACTGGAGGGTCTTTGGGTACTATTATTATTCTTACCGATAGCGTTGTAAAAATGTCCCTTTGAAAATTGCATTCATCATATTCTGTATTTCCAGGGGTTTCTGCTCACACTGAAACACAAAAAAGAATGGAATGTTCTCTGAGTAGGGGCTCCAGAAATCCCTTTCATACTAGGGAAAATCTGCACCCCTCTCATATCATTACACTGGTGCAAATCCCCAATATTTATTTTAAATTGGTGCCACAAGTAAATAGGAGTGCAACCCAAGTACACCAGTGTTTTGCCTTTGTATTTCTACATCAAAATGAAAGGTCATTGGGTACCAACTACAATCCAGGAACGAAGATATATCACACAAGATGTTCGGTAGAGAGAGAAGTCTTGTCCTTGTAATACATGGAAGGAGTGGTACACCCCATTATATGGCCAGTGTATAGAGTCTATTAATGAATCTGGACTGAAGGCAGGGGATAGGTAAGCTAGGAAATGGACAACTGCATTTTCACCAAGCCCTGAAAAAGATAATTTGGTAAAAAACTATCAATTCTGTACAACAAAAAGGTGCCATTTATTTCTTGGTTGGCTCAAGTGACCAGAATCATAAAGCTAAGAACAGCCATGAGCTCTATTTCCCCCCAGCCAGCCACCTTTCGCTATACAAGCTACCTCTTCTTACAGGACAGCCATACCCACAAGGCAGTTCAAAGACTGCCCTGAAATATTTCAATGTGAGCTCAGTGGAGTAAAGACTGGGTTCATGTTTGTATAGTATAAACCTACCTCAGCCCTCAGAAGATAATGAGTTTGTGTGGTGAAGGGGTGTTGGGAAAGTAACAGGGAAGGAAATGGAGGCTGGGTAGCAGGAGACATATGACCCTTACTTTAAACTGGAATCACATGGCATTTTAAAAATCCTTTGTTCATAAAAAGATAAATCCCACAATCCTTCATGCATTTTCATTCAGCTTTCACTTGGACAAAATCCAAAGTAAAACTTGAGCAAAAGATCTCCAGTTCAATTTACAGTTTGTGGGAACGCTGTTTTGCACACATGCATATGTCAAAACTACTACTGCAAACAGAGCCATGTACAAAAAAGACAGTTCATGGACCCATCATATCCAATTTAAAGAGACAATTACCAGAAGAGCAATCTCAAAGAATAGTACATAGCTCAAGTATTTACCTCAAACATTTGTTTGAATGCATTACCACAGTACCGAGCCCATTAAAACAAAACCTTAACAGCACACCACTGAGGATGCTTAGGAAGTAGCACCTCCATACAGCTCAAAAAATTACATCATCCCTGAGTAAGCCACCAGCCACCTCTATTCTTACATCTTCACCCAGTTCCCCAGCTAAAAAAGTAAGCCAACCTCTTTCCTTTTTCTCTCTAGCTGATCCAACCTGCAGTTGGTCCTCTTGCCAGTAATCCTATTCTTCTCCACCTCATACAGCCTTTGAGTATTATGTTTACTGACATCAAGATTCAGACGTACTCTTACAAGAGCTGTCAGAAGCTTCAAAGCTGAAACAGAAGAGAAGCCAAGCAAATAAAACTCAGCTGATATGCCACATAAAAGTCACCTCTTTACCAAAAAGCATTTAAAAATTAAATTAACACTATTCCTGCTAAATTAAAAAAAAAACAAAAACCTATTTGTATCAGAGGATTTCCTCCTAAATGACAATTTTACTAAGACATTCTAATAAGCAAAAAAATAGAAAATAAGATAATCCTTTTCATATTAATTTTTGGAGGAAGGGAGAACTAGAGAAAGAAGACTAAATATGAAAGGCAATGACAACTTACACATTTATTATCTCAACCGTTACAAGAGATGTTGCTAAATACTGAAATGCACCTTACCCACTGTACAAACAATCTGTATTCCAAGTTCCTTTCACAAAACAGAATTTTGGGGTGCTGAAGTCTTCATCACATCTGCTTTACCTAAAGCCTAAAGTCTAACCCTACCACATCTACATTTCTGTCTGATACATGCTGAAGTGAAGCAACTATAACATGGCTAGGTACTGTCAAGACACAAAGGAAGACAATCTCTGCCTTACAAAGCTGACAGTCCTTTGACTTCTGATCACTTTGGTTTTTTTACCATGCTAATTATTAAAACTCTAGTGGCAGCAATGGGAGGTAGGTTTACCTGCTAAAGTGCTGGTGTGCCTAAATGCTCTGACCATTGAGTCTGCTAGCCCTGTGAGCAGCGAGATGACTGTGTCCATTAGGTAACTATCATAAAGGATGCTGCACTGGCACTGCTGAATCAACACTGCAGTGAACTCGCAGAAATTGGCTTTGAACTTCTTCCAGTAGGGTCCTGGCTTGATGAGGGGATAGTCTTCATTGTCCTACAGGGAAAGGAAGGGTAGGGGAAAAGAGAAGAAGTATAAAAAATACCACATTTATTTTGAAATACCCAGCCTATTTTCTGCTTGCATTTCTCTCCATTTGGATCTGTAAAAGGACTGTCCCATTTCAGTTTTTGTTACAGTTTCTCACCAGTTCAGGCAAAAGTTCTCCTGCTTAATGAAGGAGACCATGTTAACCTTTAAAGCCCTCATGGAGCTGTAACCTCACCATTTTAGAGCACACCTCTGCTCCCATATTCACAGAGGTGACTGCAGTAAAGAGTGACAGTAAGGATAAAGCACCTTAAGAACCAATCTGTTACAGATCCCTACCACAGGAGAAGTGTAAGTTATGTTGTGCATAACTAGTGGCATAAGAGGATTTGCAGCCCTTTGTGGATAACCACAGCATCTCTCCTGGAGACGCAACAACTACAGTCAATATAAAAAAGACATAAATGGTAGAGAGCATGTTCCATTTGGATAGAATTGATGGTGAGTATGGGGTATTCAGTTACTCTGCAATGGTAATGTGAATCTAGAAGAATTGTTTTTGAGGTATTTGTGGGAGTGAGAGAGAGAGGGGTAACAAACATGAATTAAAGCCAGCTGGAAAGAGAAAAAAAAAGCACACTTGGGTACTGATCTTGGATCTCAACACAGCCAATTAAAGAAAAACCAATGCAGAAATATCATACATTTACTGCATCTGATAAAAGGCTGAATGAAGATGCTGAGCCTTTTCAATTCCTTCTGAAGCCCCTGGGTGCATCTTGTGGTCACGCATAAAATCGAGAGCATTCATCTAAAGCTACTTTGAAGTTGCACTGGTACTCAAAGGGTTAAAAGGAAATTTGAGTAAAAGGTCTTGTTTTACCATGTCCACTGGCCAAGTAACCGTCAGAATCCAAGGATATGCCATGAATTTCTTGTACTGCAACCCTGTTTCCTATATTGTGAGAGACATAATTGTAAGGACTTTTGATGAAGCACAGAAGTCGTTTTGAAAGATTTTAAATGCTTAAAAAAAATACACACACAATGCACATTGTATGCCAAGGTTCAAAATGCCATTTAAACTTGAGCTTGTATTTATTATACACCCCTGCATATCATAGCACACTCAGTAATATCTTATCTTTTTCCACATGGTTTGCTTTTAGCTACAACTATCACATGCTTCAGTATAAATCCAATGCATTTTTATTTAAAAATTGTCACTCCAGTTATGTCAAGCTTTGCATAAACTTTGTCTACCAAAACATGCAGAGTACAATCCTCTATGCCCACTCTAAGATAAAGATACAGAACTTTTCCCCAGTTGTCTAAATGCTTATTAGATACCAAACATCTGACTTAGCATACTAAAAAAAAAAAAAAAAAACCACCAGGAAAATCCCAATTCACGGGAGTACAAATATGTTCATGTGTGCTAGCCATATTTCAAAATCTCCACTCATGACTAAGTAATCCCTCTGGCAAATCAGCAACTTTTCTAAATCCCACTCTTGAAGATTTAGCCAAATTATATCTGCAAGTGAACCAAGAAAAACGATCTCAAACGAGGCCTACATAATACAGGCCTTTGCCACAATATAATACAAAGACTGCACAAAATCTAAATTTGCATTTAAAAATAAAGTTAAGTTTGTGCCTTTGCAATTAAAATCTTCCAGAGGCAAATCAAGTGCCATTTGGTGCAATTCACTAAATCCACAGTTATTTATTCAAGACAATAGTTTAGAGGTGTGAACTCCCCAGGTCCTCATTAATCTCACTGATGGAGTGTTTGCACTACCATTTGGTTTTACTTTTAGAGGTCAGCGTTATCCACTTCACCACTAAGGGGGTGGGAAATACAGTTAACAAGAGGACAAAGAGCTGTTGCAAGAAAGGAGATGTTATAGAAAGAGGAGAAGACATGCAATGAGGACAAAAAGTCTGGGTGGATTGATTTAAATCAGGGTCAGGGTTGAAAAAGTCAGATTTTTCCATTTACTGGTACCTTACAAGAAGGAGCAAAGGGCTTGAGGAATATCTGGTGCAAAAAGTACTAACCTGAAATGTATTTTCAAGCAAAAAATGTTCCATTTCTAGAACCCACATCAGAAAATATAAGTTTGATTTATTATTTTATTAAGAGGACACAGTGTTCAGCCCCTAAGAGAACTCTTTCTCAGGCCAGAAGAAAAGGGTTCCAAAGCAACAATATACCTGAGGAGGATGGCAACACTAACCACTTCCTTGAACCTTGATAATGCCTACCATTATCATGAGTGCTACAGCCAAGCTCCCAACGTATCTCCACTGCCCCCCACCATAACTACACCCCACAACAGAACCATCAGAAATGTAATATAACTCATTCAGTGCACCAAATGCCCTGGTGGAAAATATGTAGGAGGAACCAAGCAACAACTGTGCACCAGAATGAATGTGCACCGAAAATCCAAAGACAAAAAATATCCAAATACCGGTGGGGGCACACTTCTCACAAGACAATCACTCCCTCTCTAATCTCTCAGTTCTAATCCTCAAAGGCAATTTACATAACACCTTTAGTAGAAAAGCCTACAAACTTCACTTCATAAATCTACTGGATACAAAAAAATCATAGACATTGGCTTTATGACAATGTCATTACAACCTTTATGACAATGTCATTACAACCTTTATGACATCTGATACCCCAGGTAACCTGCCTCCAGCTGGCCACTTGCATTCCTTAGCATATTTCCCTCCCTTCCCCACTCCCTTCCTATCATCTTCCTAACTTCCACTCATCTGCGTTTTCACAGACATGCTTGTTGTAAATTAGCTTCTTTTGTACCTTGGACTACACACAACACCAGCAGAATCTCCCTAGGCCTGACGAAGGGTGCAAACATGTTTTTCCAACTATTTAGTTGGTATAATGAAAGATATCACATCTACCCAAAGAACCTTGCCTGACAACATAAATGAGAGGCAGCAGGGAGTTTTAAAGATAATGAACTTCAGTAAGATGTCATAAATCATTATCACTTGCTTAATACTTTGATATCATGAATGTATTATCATTATTAGTGTTAACACGTCAAAAAAGGTTTATATAAAACTCAAATAAGCAACAAAATGAGAGAGAGTCAGGGTGGGCTGATTTAAATCAAGTCGATTTATATGACTGATTTAAATCAGCAAGCCAAGGGCCTAATTTAAACCATTCATTTTTTAATCAAGTTTCCCATTGTATTTTCATTGTTTTTTTAAAGAAAAGTTTATTTTCATTAGTTGATGTAACAATTAAAACGTTGATTTAAAACTAGTTTCTACAGTCAATTTGGTACATTTCTTACATACACAAACACACAAAATTTTATATAAGTGTACTTAGTTGTATTATCAGCATGTTTTAATTGTTGTATCAACCAATGAAAATAAACCTCTCTCTAAAAAACAACAGAAGTATATACATTGTTTGTTAATTTTTTTAAATATACAGTGAAAGCTGTGTTATCCAGCATTTACCATCCAGATTGCTCTATTAACCAGCATCTGTCCCACTGTGGCACTTCCAGTTTTGCTGCCGCAAGCCAAGTCCCACTTCTTCCTCGTGGACCACGGCCCAGGGCAAAGCAGCCTGCGTGGGGCCCCTCTCCCTGTCCCCTGGCACACTTACGCCAGGGAGTTAAAGCCCTGGTGCAGCGGACACGGCGGGAGGGGTGGGGGCCCAAACAGTCAAAGATGCCTCCAACCCACTGGGCTGGAGATAAGTATAACTCTCAGATAACCAGCACATTTGATTAACCAGCACCCCCCATTCCCCATGGTGCCAGATAACAGAGCCTTTATTGTAGATAGCTTGTAATATTTTTAATATATACATATTTAAATATAAAGCTTAACATATTCAGATTTTTAGAAATCCTACATTTTAGTATACTATAAAATGGTGAAAAATATATTTCTTATTCACTATATGACTAAATTTTGCTCGTATTTGTATTAAGTTGCATTAAGATAGCAAGCTGAATTTAATTAAACACACAAAACCCGCACTTCAAATTTCATAAACATAACTTTAATGTTTTGGATACAGAAACTTTTTTTTATTAATCAAAACATGGTACATATTTACAGCTAACTAATGTATTAAACACTAGTATTTACTGTTATAGTATTAGAAGTATAAACTATGGTTAATTAATTAAACTAATTATTTAATACTCTGGGGGAAAAATTTACAAAATGCCTAGGTAAAAGTCATTTGAGCTTAAGTTCCTATTTGCCTAAGTCTCTTAAAAATGAGACAGTCATTTTTTCTTTCAAGTTTTCAGAACTCGTCAATCTCATCCTCCTCCCTCTTTTTTTTCCACAAGCTAGAAGAGAAAAAACAAGCATTCCTG